TTTCCATGAGCACTCTCTTAAAAGTGAAGTCTAGTGCGCTTTGTCAAAACTTTGATCAGATGAAAGCATTTATATTTTTGTTTATCCCGGTTTACTAAGATTAATAGGTTGCTAGAAGTCTATTGAGTACAGAGTTTCTCACACTTGGTACTATTGATATTTGAGGCTAGAAAATTCTTTTCCAGGGCTGGGGAGCTGTTCTAGGAATTTCTAACTCTACCCAGACATATGCCAGTAGCAGCTCTCCCTCCCAGTTGTGAAATACAAAAATGCTTCCAAAATGCTCAGTGGACATGCTTCCAAAAATGCCAAATGTCCACTGAGGGGCTCAAATGGCCCCAGGTGAGAGCCACTGGTTTAGTGCAAAGTAATCCTCTTTAACTAGAGCATACTGGCCAGAAAGATGCAAGTGCTATGCTTAGTTAACCCATTTAAACAAAGTTAAGTCTTGCTGAAATGAATGTAAAGCCCTCATTGATAGCTAAATGTATCTCACTGTTTGCGTTACCACCAGATACTCTTGGCACATTCTGAATGGGGCAATCAGTGAATTCCTTATATAGGCAACGATTCCTGGGAAATCTCAATAAATTGTCAAAAGAAATGCAAAAGAAAACACTCTGCTGATTCAGCTTGTAAGTTTCCAGTGGTATCGCCTTACTTCCCAAACGAAATAATTCTGAGTCCTGTTCCATGATAGGATAGTGACAGTGACAGTGTGGGTCAGTGCTGTTTTCGTGGTTGTTGATACTCTTGTGCCTCCTTTAGATATTTTCTAAGAGAGATCACTTTTTTTTTTAATTTAATGACTAGTCCTCTCTATGATCCTCACTGTTTTTCTCTATCAACCCTTCAAGGATATCAGAGTTTTATCATCAGCATTTTTCAGGTTATAATAAATTATTCTAAAAATTAAGTTGAAAAGAAATCCTCAGGTCTTTTGAAATGAGGCAGAAATAGAACTAGATAAGCCTTTAAAATAGTTGGTATGGTGTATGGAATCTTTTTTTTTTTTTTTTAATTTTTTATTGGATTATAGGTTTTGGGGTACATGAGCAGAGCATGCATGACAGTTGCGTAGGTACACACATGGCAGTGTGCTTTGCTTTTCTTCTCCCCTTCACCCACATTTGGAATCTTTTTTTTAACACAAAGTAGAGAAAAAAGAGGCTGTAAAATGTGTCCATGTAATACTGACTTCTGCTCTCCTCCTGCTTTAAAAGATCACTATAGTGATCAGAATCTCAAACTGACAGTCAGCATCTAAGATTTGGGTGTACTTCAAGCATGCATAGCACAAGATAACGATATAAATCTTCTGAAAGTAAACAAACCCAAAGAAATATAGTAATATTGCTGTGTGCTTTGCTAATTTTAGAGAAAGGTGCTTTACACTTTGTAAGAGGAATACTGTTACTCAGCATGTTTTGCTTTAAGTCCTAAAAGAGAGTCCCTCATCAGAACAGGCTTGTTTTCAAACAGTTTACTTTAAAAAAAAAAAAAAAGTAGCTCTCAAGTCTACCTTCAGCCAATATGGAGTACAATGAATAGATTTATACTCCTATTTTTAAAATTTTTTTAAAAATTGGGACAAAGTATATAAAAGAACAGTTTTCATGACAGTGTACATTATACAGTGGGAGACAGTGATTCCTGAGAGGTAAGAAACGAATTAAGTGAGCCCTATGATTGCCCTAGCTACCTGCCTTGAGAGAGATCCATGCTGTGGCTCTGGGAGGGGCAAACCAGGAGCTAACCAACAAACTTCTTGAGTTGAAAAGATGGGGCTGAGTGTCCTGGGAGAGCAAGGAGGCTAAAGATCATAGACAAAGTATCAGAGAAGTGAGAGTTGCAACAAGACCCCTGAGATTTTCCAAGGATCCTCATTATGTATTCTGCAGAGTAGTGATTAATGCACATATGTGAGGAAACTACCTGAGCCCCAGGTGTGAGGGAGATACCCAAAAAGATTATATAAAAAAGCACCTGGCACTTATACAGTATTTGGGGAAAAAAATGCCTGTTTCCATTAGGCGGACTGGAAAACCTCATAAATCAAGGACACTGGGGAGAGTACCCAAGGTTCTTGCCTTAGTAAGGGAGGATAATTAGCCCTTCATGAAACACTGTTCCAGTCTTGCCTTACAAATCTTAAAAGCAAGACTTGAAAGGAACAAAGTGTTTCCAAGTCGTTTAGCTGAATCCCAGAACAAAGCTCAGTAATATTTATGAGATTATAAAAGTATCCAACACTCAAGAAGTCAAATTTATGATATCTGGCATCCAATCAAAAATTACCAGACATAAAGAAAATCTGAGACATAGTACTGATAATGAAGAGTAAAATGAACCCAAATGGATAGATGCAGAGCTGAAACAGATGTTAGAATTACCAGACAAGGTCATTAAAACCATGATTTTTTAAAACTGTATTCCGTATGTTCAAAAGTTAAATTGATACCTAGAAATTTTTAAAAAAAATTTCAGAGGTTCAATCCCAAATTGAACTTCTGTGGAGGAAAATTACAATGTCTGAGATGAAAAATATCTTGAATGTGATTAACAGATTAGACACTGCAAAAGAAAACATAAATTTGAAGATGTAGCAATAGAAATTATCTCAAATAAATGGAGAAAATTATTTGAATAGATCATCAGTAGACTTTATAAATAATTTAAGCTCCTAACATATATGTAATTGGAATCTCTGAGAGGTAGGGATAGACAGAAAAAAAGTATTCAAAGAGGCCAGGTACAGTGGCTCATGCCTATAATCCCAGCACTTTCTGAGGCCAAGGCAGGTGGATCCCCTGAGGTCAGGAGTTCAAGACCAGCCTAACACCGAGAAACCTCATCTCTACTAAAAATGCAAAATTAACCAGGTGTGGTGGTGCATGCCTGTAATCTAAGCTACTCGGGAGGCTGAGGCAGGAGAATGCCTTGAACCTGGAAGGCGGAGGTTGCAGTGAGCCAAGATTGTGCCACTGCACTCCAGCCTGGGCAACAAGAGCAAAACTCCCTCTCAAAAAAAAAAAAAAAATGTATTCAAAGAAATAATGGCTAGAAAACTTATAAATTTGATAAAAACTATAAACCCACAGATCCAACAGCTCAACAAACCCAAAACACAAGAAACAGAAAAAAAAATCAAGAGAAATCCTAACTAAATTACCTAAAACCGATGATAAAAGAAAAACTTAAAAGCAACCAGAAGAAAAAGATACGTTATATATAGAAGAATTAAGATAAAGATGATAGCAGATTTTCTATCCAAAATATTGCAAGAGAGGAGCCAGGGGAGGAGCATCTTTAAACTACTGGGGGAAAGAAACTTTCAACCTAGAGTTCTGTATGCAGTGAAAATACCTTTCTCATATGAAGACAAATTAAGACTTTCTCAAGCATAAAAAAAAAGAAGGAATTTATTATCAGCCTACAATATCAGAAATATTTCAGAAGTCCTGTAGGAAGAAGAGAAATGATGCCAGATCCAAATCTGAATCTACAGAAATAAATGAAGATGACTTTACATGATAAATCTGCTCTCTTTCCACATCCCATGACTTGGAACATGAGGGTGCTCTGGATAGGTACCAAGACATGGACGAGGACCAGTGAACAAGATCAGGTCTCGGAATTACTTAGGGGAACAGAACGGCCTGGCTATCTGGATGACCCACCTATGAACTATTATTGCTAGACAAAGAAAAGTCTGTGTTTTTAGAGTATATTTTGTAGTTTTACTGATACTACCAATTGTTTCTTAATTAATATAATCATTTTTATAGCTGTAAAGTTATGTCTGTTACATCAAGATCTTTTTCTCACTTACCTGAAATGCCAACTCTTCTATAAATCTCGCATTACATATGCATGGCAGCCTTTCTGGATTAAATGTTCCATTCGTCTATTCGTTTGTATGATGCTATCCATGCACTAGATATGTTTATACTAGCACTTGATATCTGCTAGGGCAAATACTCTAACTTGTCATCTTTCTCAGATATATCTTAATTCTTTCTATCATACTAAATTTCCAAATAAATTTGAGAGTCAGTTTTTTAAAAGAAGGTGACAAGGTTATCAGGAGATGCAGCTAAGTCACATTAGTTTCCACCTATCTATCTTTTTATGAGTTGATATATGCAGAAACAGCCAGCCCCAAGACAAAGGCTGTTCTCAGTGACTTTTATCCTTACCACCAGAGTGGCAAAGAGAGCCTGGTGGTGAAAGGGTGATAGTTTGGCTACCTGGTAGGCATCCAGGGGTCAGGTTTCTTCCCTCTAAGGAACACTCTACATTCTTCTAAGGGTATCATCTCCCCCTTGTTATCCATTAGCTTCAGTTATTTTGGTGTAGACTGCGTCAATATAACTCCATTTCTGTGATCCTGTTTATCAACTGTAAATTGAGGTTTTTTTCCAAGGCATGGACCAGATAGACTGATCGTATCATGTCCTCAGAGAGTAAATATACAGCACTTCATTTACCCTTCAGAATTTTTAATCAATACCTATTGACTGTCTCAAGGGTTGAATTCTCTATTTTACCTCCATTTTAATATGTTGGGGAATTCAGCCAATTTATTCAACATTTATCACAATGTCGAATACCTGCTTTGCTCTAGGTACTATGCTAAATGTTGAATATTTTGCAGTAAATAGATATCATATATATATGTATATATCATATATATATGTATATATATATATCTCCTTTTATATTGGGAAAATCCAACATTTAAACAGAAATAAATATTTAATTTACAATTATGTTTGCTACTATGAAAGGAACAAGGTTTTATGTAAGAATAACGAGGGAGAAAGTGGAGAAAAATATGCTTTTTAAGTTAGACTTTATTATGTACAAATGAAACCTGAGTTAACTGGACCAGATTCATGTATTTTTTCATATGCTTAATGAATTTGTTTGTTCATTGAGCACTATAATAGTCCAGCTATTAGGTTCACAAAAATGACCAGGACTCAGTTTCTGTCTTTGAGGAGCTCATAGTTTAATTTTTTTAATAATTAGCAGTGGCTTTTATTGAAATAATTGCATACCAAATGAAAACAAATGCGTTCTTTTTTTTCTTCATTTTTCTTCAGATGAGGATAGGAATTCACTCGGGCTCCGTGCTGGCTGGAGTCGTTGGGGTCCGAATGCCACGTTATTGCCTGTTTGGAAATAATGTCACGCTGGCAAGCAAATTCGAGTCAGGAAGCCACCCTCGGCGAATCAATGTCAGCCCAACCACTTACCAGTAAGTGTCCTCTGGCCTCCTCCTGCCTGTCTTGGCTTTGTTTGAACTGCTGTGCTGTCCTCTGTGAGACCCTGTTCTTTATCTTGATCCTGTCATTCTCCAAGATTATGAGTAGAACCGCCCAAACCTGAAAGATGATGATTGTGACACAAATTTTATTTGCACCCTGTGAGAGTGCATGAAAAATCTGACATGACTGACAGGTAAATGTAAGTTTGTCATTTCCCACAGTCTCTGTTCTTTTATTTTTATTTATTTATTTTGAGACAGAGTCTTGCTCTGTTGCCAGGCTGGGGTGCAGTGGCGCAATCTTGGCTCACTGCAACCTCCGCTTCTTGGGGTCAAGAGCTTCTTCTGCCTCAGCCTCCCGAGTAGCTGGGACTACAGACATGCACCACCACGCCTGGCTAATTTTTATATTTTTAATAGAGACAGAGTTTCACCATGTTGGCCAGGATGGTCTCGATCACTTGACCTTCTTCCACCTGCCTCTGCCTTCTAAAGTGCTGAAATTACAGGCATGAGCCACCCAGCAGGGCCATCTCTGCTCTTCTTAAGTATACCTGTTTAAAATACAGGAGAGCAAATGTTCTTGAGGATCTGCATTATAATAGAAATCCCAGTATTTTCAAAACATTTCCCATTGTTTACAAAAATCAAAGTAATATGATAGAAGAGGTTGCTGGACTGTTTTTATTTTTTGAATAGTAAGTAAAGACTGTAAATACACACACACATACATACATGACCCCTCATCCAAAATGCTTGGGAACACTAGTGTTTTACAGTTTGCAATTTTTGACTTTTGGAATATTTGTGCATTATATTACCTGGTGAGCATCCCAAATCTGAAAATCTGAAATCCAGTATGTTCCAAAGAGCATTTCTTTTGAGTGTCACGTTGGTTCTCAAAAAGTACAGACTTTGGAGCATTTTGGACTTTGATGCTCTGTTGTATTAGGTACAGAGTAATGTTAAATTATTTTTATCTTAAGGGTAATCTTTGACAACACTACACATTTTTGCCTCCTGAACTCATTCTGATTTTGGGTCTGGTAGAAATCTCCCCTATGACTAGATATTATGCCCCATATGTGGGCAGGGACTGTGTCTGGTTAGGCTCATCATTATATCCCCAAACTTACAAAAATGTCTAGCACATAATAAGCACTCTATAAATATTTATCAAATCAATGAATAAATACATCGATAAGATAGACATCTCCAAAATTAACAGCAACGAAAAGCATGAAAATAGCTTACTTTATCAGACTTTGGCTTTATTCTGGGTGTTACTGTACAGCTATTTAATTAATTTCATGTTTTAGCTAATTTAGAATCATTGAAAAAAGGTAAAGTAGAAATAGAGGCCATTGATTTTTTTATTGACATGGTTACAAAAATCTCAATCAGAAAATATGAATATAAAGATAATAAAAGTGATATTTATTCCCAGAGAGGGAATTAAAAGATTTTAGACGAAAAGCAAATACTTCCAGATTCTGCAAAATAGATGAGGAAGAAAACAAATTACAAATATGAAATCAAGAGTAAATTCACATTAAAAATCTATTTTAAAGCTCTTGCTAAACTCATTAAAGGAGTGAATATCTTCATTTTACTGTTTTTGAATAAAGACACACCTCTTACTAATTTTAAGGGCCTCACAGACAACTTCTGGGCAAAGTTTCAGGATTCTATCTAATCATTACGTATCTAAAATCTGCTTGCTATTTTCAGGATGTTTATAAGAGAATTTTGCATCTTTTAAGCTTCTCCCAGTTTTCCCAACACAATTCTGGGCATATTACAGATGGTCTGACAATAATTACCATATCAAATTGAATTTTGTAAAGTTCTCTAGTAGAGATCAGTGATTCTGACACTTTCTGCTCTAGATGGTGAAAAAACAGTTACTGAAGATCAACTTCCTCACTCATCATCTCCTACTACATAGTTCCATTTATTCCCATCATGGTATTGAATGGAAAAAATACTTATTTTCCATGTTTGTGTAACTTAGTGTAGATTTATATCTTCTGTGATAACTTCACTTAAAAAAAAAAAAAAGTAAGAGAAGAGAGGCCGGGCGTGGTGGCTCAAGCCTGTAATCCCAGCATTTTGGGAGGCCAAGGCGGGTGGATCATGAGGTCAAGAGATCGAGACCATCCTGGTCAACATGGTGAAACCCCGTCTCTACTAAAAATACAAAAAATTAGCTGGGCATGGTGGCGCGTGCCTGTAATCCCAGCTACTCGGGAGGCTGAGGCAGGAGAATTGCCTGAACCCAGGAGGCGGAGGTTGCGGTGAGCCGAGATTGTGCCATTGCACTCCAGCCTGGGTAACAAGAGCGAAACTCCGTCTCAAAAAAAAAAAAAAAAAAGAAGAATGGGCCCAACCTGCGTGAAGAGTTCATGCCCTGACTTAGACATCACAACAGTAGCTGGCCTTGTTTACATAGTGATGGATAAAAAAGATTGCCAGCCACACAAGTCTATGCATTTTGGTGGTGACTCGGGGTTTTTGTAATCTTTTTCATAGTTTATGATTATCCGTAGTGATCAACAAGGTCTCAGGGATTTAATCATTTCAACAGCTGCTTACACTGAAGCTTGCTGTTCTGTTATTGTTCTGTATCCTTACCCCGGGACCCCCAAAATCAAACAGAGCCATAGATAGACACCGGGAGCTGCCAGGTGGGTAGATTCTTAGAACAAGTAGAATTTATGAAGTAAAACCCAGTATTAAGCTCATAAGAGTTTGTCATCTCTATTTATCCCTGAGTTACATTCTGTAGAATGTCAACATTACCTGTTTATCTTGAAATCTTCAGAGAGGTTTTAATCCCATTTATTTTTAGCAAACTATATGATTATTATAAACATTGGAAGTGGGTTGTTTTGATATTATGATAAATTGAAATCATTTTTTGAATGGTTCATTCCAACGGCATTTGGTCAGAAATATTCAAATAATTGACTTTTTAAAATATTTTTATAACTATTGTGAAGTACTGAAAAGGTAATATCCATGATCCCACCACAGTTTAACACTTTTTATATTTTGCTTCAGATTTTTTTTTAAATGAACTAAATATTTGCTTTGGAATTTTCTAACTCTTTCATTGTGACATCCTAATGAGCTTAGTGTGTTTTGAAGTCCCGTGTTTTATATATTAACGTTCTACACAGGTATCCGTGAACAATATAATTTTATTTTACATGCTTTAATTTTTATAAATGGTCTTTTGCTATATGACTCTTTCTCTAATTTTGGTTTTGTTTAAACAAAATTTCATATTTTAAAGATCTATCATGTTGGAACATACAGCTTTAGCTCATTTTAATTGTTGTATGACTCCAACATATTTTAATTTTTCATACATATATTCCTCTGTTGATGAACAGTTAGGTATATTGTCTACCTTTAATTATTACAAAGTTTGCTCCTAGTAACTGACATTACAAAAAAATTTTTTTATTGAGTTTTAAGTGTTCCAAATTAGATGATGTGTTACACCTATCTTTGTTCCCATCATTCCAATTTAAAAATAGTGCATATTTTATTAACAACTATCTTAACATCGTCCTACTGCTCTGTGAAACAGAAATAAATAATTGTTTAAAGGATGGCTTTAGCAGATTTTGAAACAAATTATCTCAGCATAATTATTTTTTCTTGCTACAGTGAAAACTAAAAATGTAGAAAGACTCAAATTACTTTGATATGAAATTTTTCTTAATCTTTAAACATTTTTGCTTTTCTTATTTTACTATTGATCTACTTTCAGATGTTTTAGAATGCCTATTTTTTATTCACTGTGAAAGGCTTTTTTCCGTTAAAACCAAGCTTCTTCCTAACCACTGCTACATGAGCAGCTCATTATATGAGGGGATGTAGAGTCGAGCAGATTATAAGCTCAGAATCAAAGTGCCTACTTTAGAATCTAGGCTCTAACAAATATTTACCGTCTACATGAAATTTAGTGACTTAATTTCTTTGGACCAAGTTTTTCCATCTTTAAATTGGTATCCGTTTATGCTGTTAGTGTTTGTTTAACGTGATGTTTTTAAAGCTCCTAATACTTGAAACCTAATAGACATTCATTTACTGCTTCATCCTGTTATTTCCATAGAGGAAGAACCCATCTGATTTCTGCACTTAAATCTCATAATTTATAAATTTAGCCATGATGAATGATATGTGCTCGTAGGATAACAGACCTCATCTGAAAATTCCAAAGAAAGAATGGGTTTGGTAACTTGGTCAAAGGTGCATTTTGAGCTGTAACTGAGAGCTGAGATAGTAATCAGTTTATTCCTATGTGTTTAAAAGCATTTTACTGATGACTGTCTGAATCCTAGTCATATGATTAAAAATGATATATATATATATGATATGATATATATATCAAATGATATATAAAGTCATATGATATATATAGTAAGCAATTACATATATATGTGATTACTTACTGTTGGCTTCAACAATACAAATATTTTTAACTCTTTCATTGTGACATCCTAATGAGTTTGGTGTGTTTCAAAGTAAGTCCCGTGTTTTATATATATGTGATTACTTACTAATCACTGTTGGCTTCAACAATGCAAATATTATTTTATAGTTCTGTAGGACACAAATCTGACACAGGTCTCACTTAGCTAAAATCAGGGTGGGTGTCACGAGGCCTTTATTCTTTGCTGAAAGTTCTAGGTGCTGAAAGCTCTAGGTGATAATACGCTTTCTTGCCTTTTCCAGTTTTTAAGCCATCTTCATTCCTTGGTTCAGAGCCTCTGTCTTTCATCATGCAAGATATTTCATCTTTCTGATACTGCCTCCATCATCACATAACTTTTACTGACTCTTCTTCCCTCTTCTGCTTTTAAGGACTCTTGTGATTATGTTGGGCACATTGGATAATCCATGATAATTTCTCTATTTTAATGTCGTCTGAATAGCAATCTTAATTCCATCTGCCACCTTAATTCATCATTGCCATGCATATTCCTCAGGGTTCTTAGATGTGTATATAAAGGGGAGTTTATTAAGGAGTATTAACTCACAGGATGACAAGGTGAAGTCCCACAATAGATGGTCAGCAAACTGAGCAGCAAGAAGTCAGTCCAAATCCCAAAGCGGACGAACTTGGAGTCCAATATGGAAGGGCAGGAAGCATTCAGCACAAGAGAAAGATACAGGTCAGAATACTAAGCCAGTCTAATCTTTTATTCTTTTGCCTGCTTTTATTCTGGCTATACTGGGAGCTGATTAGATGGTGCCCACCCAGCTTGAGGGTGGGTCTGCCTCTCCCAGCCCACTGACTTAAATGTTAATCTCCTTTGGCAATACCCTCACAGACACACCCAGGATCAATACTTTTCATCCTTCAATCCAATCTAGTTGACACTCAATATTAGCCATCACATTATGAGACCTAACATATTCACAGATTTCAGGGATTGGTATTAGGACGTGGACATCTTGGAAGGTGGGGGTAATTCTTCCTACAACAATGGAAAATTTAAATGCTAAAACCTGCCTGGAAATAGAGCCCCAATCTTCTGCATCCCCATCTTTGAGGTCTTAAATAAAAACATATAAATTATGTAAGCAAAATCAGGGGAGGAAAAAGACTTTCACAAATGAGACCTCTGGCTTCTAAAAGATTTTTACTGGGACTTAAGACATAGATTCCTGAAGAGAGGAACCTGACCTAGGACTGACTTATATTTCTATATTTAAGAAGCAGTAGAGTCCTTGGCTTGAGAAAAAGAAAAGACTAAGAAGCTATCCTGAGAAATAAGGAGTTTTTATAAATATAATTACAGTCCTCTCACTACATAACCTGCCCTCAGACATAGCTACCCACATATCATCCCTTACAAAACTGGAGAAGTTATAATATTTATCTCTAGACCACTAGCACCAAGTTTAAAATTGCACAGACCACATTTTTGTGCAAGAGTTTAATATAGTGCGTAACTCCTAGCCTAGGAATTGAGAGAACGGAATTTAATATTGGTTAAGCTATTTGCTGACCTATCTGATGAGCTCTCTTGTATCTTTTAGCTCCGATATCTCATGATAATCACAGCAAACATTTATTGGATTACTTACAATGTATTTATATTATCATTTAATCCTTAAGGCAAGAGTGTGATTTCCGCATTGCGACTATCTTTGTTTTTCAAATGAAAGAAACTAAAACATAGGTTAAATAAGTCACTAAGAACATTGGGCTAGGCCGGGTGCGGTGGATCACGAGGTCAAGAGATCGAGACCATCGTGGTCAACATGATGAAACCCTGTCTCTACTAAAATTACAAAAAATTAGCTGGGCATGGAGGTACGTGCCTGTAATCCCAGCTACTCGGGAGGCTGAGGCAGGAGAATTACCTGAACCCAGGAGGCGGAGGTTCTGGTGAGCCGAGATCGCGCCATTGCACTCCAGCCTGGGTAACAAGAGTGAAACTCCGTCTCAAAAAAAAGAAAAAAAAAAATTTGGGCTAAATAAGTGTGGGAGTCATAATGAAAAACCCTACTCTGAAGCCTGAGATCTTATCCATGGCCAGGTTGTCCCACTGGGCTGACAAGTACTTGAAGTAACATGAAATAAAACAATAATTGCTTCTTTTAACTTTTTTAGCTGACGCATAATAGTACATATTTGTAGGATACAGAGAAATATTTTGATAAGTGTTGCAATGCATAATGGTCAAACCAGGATAATTAGCATGCCAATCCCCTCACACATTTATCATTTCTCTGTGTAAGGAACATTCAAAGTCTGCTCTTGTAGCTTTCTGAAAATACACAATAAACTCATTAATCATATTCACCCTACGTGCTGCAGAACACCAGAACTTATTCTTTCTATCCAGCTGAAGTGTTATCTGTTAACAGACCTCTCTCCACCCTCTCCTCCCCTCTTATTCTTCCCAGCCTTTTCCTACAATTCCACTCTCTAATTTTATGAGCACAAAATTTTATTTTTTAATATCCCCAATAATTTCTGAATATTACTGGCCTCAATGAGAGGATTTCTTCAGGAAAATGGTGAAGAGAGCAGTGGGGAGTGAGGGAGATTCATTTTCTCTCTGGAGATATAAATGCCCTCAGGTTGAACTTTTGCTATTCTACAATTGTTTTTTCACTCAGGATGATAAAAAGGAAGGATATTCTTTCTAACGCATTTATTAAGAGTGTCTGTATTTCTAACCATATCAGTATCTCTGTTGCTAGATCTGAAATGAACATGAGTCTATGGGACAAAGTTGTGGCAAGGGGAAGCTTCCAAGTGAAAAAGAAGACAGTTGCCTCTGTGGGGCTAAAACATTTTGTGTAAGCATGTCTCTAATTCATATAATAAGTTACTGGGAATATAGGCTTGCTTTTAGGAATTTATACACTATTTGGAGAAATGCATCTTTCTGGTAAATGGAGAGAAAGAGGCAAGGAATAATTGAAGAATGATGACATTCCTTGGGTATAGTTTTCATTTCATTTACTATTTTTAAATGAAACTACCCAGGGTATAGTCTAATACTACTTGAAATAACATAGAATAAAATAATTCCTTCTTTTAACTTTTAGCTGACACATAATAGTACATATTTATAGGATACAGAGTAACATTTTGGTAAGTGTTACAATGTATAATGGTCAAATCAGGATCATTAGCATATCAATCACCTCAAACAGTTATCATTTCTTTGTGTGAGGAACATTGAAACTCTGCTCTTCTAGCTTTCTGAAAATACACAATAAATTATCATTAACCATATTCACCCTAAGTGCTGCAGAACACGAGAACTATAGGTATAGACAGTAATACCAGTCAAAAACACTAGCTAGAAACTCTGCTTCTGTTCCTTTGTCAATATAATTATTATTACAAGGGTGAGATATTGCACTATAAACATTTACTCTTTTTCCTATGGACACTTAATGTGGGGAAAGATCCAAAGAAGCTTCAAGTCTAATCTGGTAGTTTTTCTGTAGCCTTCGTTTCTTAAAAAAATCAACATCCTCACCCGCACTAGTGATTTGATATTTAAAGAAATAATTAAGAAGTATTTGGGCTGGCATGTTACTACCCTTCAGTCTTTTAAATAACTTTATTAGTCATCTTTTCCTTTTCTCTATGGAAGCACCAAAACAGTAAACATAATCAGTAAAGACAAATGACTTAATAGTTTTCCCAAAAGGAGAAACTTGAGCTGTGCCTCAAGAATTATATTTCTATTTTTCCAATTACAGACAGCAACATTAATATTATCCTTTTAAATGTGCCAATAAAAGTCACATCTAGCAAAATTGAATGAGATACTCCATTCATTTCAATATTTCTATTTTGCTTTTCCTTTCTTTGTCTCCCTGCTATATTGAAAAGCATTTTCCACGGAAAATGTAGTTTTGTGGATCAGGAATTTGATGCCTTCCTAATTTTTTAAATATAAATCTGTCTTTTTGGGGGGTAGGGAGCTTTTAGAATATACCACTTCAATCATTCCATATATTTACCAGCTTACTTAAGGCCATTGGAGTGAAGTCTTTAAACATCAGAATATAATATTGCAGTTGTTTTTACAGTAAAAATAGTAAAAACTTACCTATTACTTTACTCTTAAAGGTCTAATTGGTAAAATTTGTAATAAGCAATGAGAAAATAATATATAATTATGTACTGTGTTTATTCTCATAGATATGAAATGAAAAGAAGAGTGTGTCTGGGAATTTGGACATATTTTTCTTTATGATTTGGTTTATTATTTGGTATAGGTTTAGTTTATATGATTTGGCCTAAGATTAAATTCAGAAGTAAAGTTTTGCTGCTTTTTTATTAGGTCCCATTCCTAACTAGTATGAAGGGAAGCCTTAGTGGTTCTCTCTTCCCGGGATGGCAATGTGAAAAAATTAATTTCCTAGTTCTAGGATTTAGAATTCAAAGGCTCTAATCTGGTATTCATGTTGATCATTCCTATTTATATGGGAAACATCTGTTAATTTCACACACAAAAAATAATTTCCTTGAAGTAAAAATACTATTTCATTGGTCATAAATAACAAACAATGTCAATCTTAAGTAAATTTTCCACACTGTCTAAAATACTATAAAGTGAAAATTGGTTACTAAGATAATGAAGCATGACTTAAAGCAAAAGAAAAAGTCACTCCTTACATTCTCCTTTCCCTTTCTCCATTAAAAATGGCACCATTTCTAGTGGCCTGGAGGTCAATATTTATTTTGTGATTAACACAGGTAATAATCCTTTCTGAAAGTTCCTTTAGATGTCCAGAGTTTAGCTAAAAAGGCCACGTTCTTTGGAAAAGTAAGTGTTAAACATGTTTTGGCTGTAGAAATAATTCAAGTAATATCTGACTTAAAATCCAAGGTAGAACATAGATAAAAGTATTACTGTTGAGGTTTTTGGGGGCTGCTGTTGCATTTAAACCCTACGATTAGTGTGTTTATGAAGCATTTTTTATGCATACTCACATATGCATGTTTCTGGAGAGAGTTTTTAAAAATATTCTCATCCTATTTCAAAGTGGACCATGATTCAGAAAATATTAAGAACCACTACTGACTGATTAAATCAATGAATGACCAAATAAAAGAGTGCGAATTTGAATTTCATATTCCTGTTCTGCCTCTAATTAGTTTATGACCCTGGATAAGCCACATAAATGATCTCATCTTTCATTTACTTATAAATTCTAAAACTCAGGTCTAGATGATTCTCAAAATAGTTTATACTAAATCATAAAATAGAAAAAGTAGCTGAATAAAGTCTGCAATTTACTTAATAGTAATATACCATTGTTAATTTCTTAGTTTTGACAAATGTACCCAGATTCTGTGGAATGCTACCATTAGAGGAAATTGAGTAAAGACTCTAAGAGAACTCCCTATACTATCTTTGTAATTCTTCTGTAAATCTAACATAATTCCAAAATAAGTTGTATTTTAAAAAAGTATTATACTTCTGACATCCAGACAGGCACAGCAGCTTATGCCTGTAATCACAGCATTTTGGGAGGCCAAGGGGAAAGGGTCACTTGAGTTCAGGAGTTTGAGACCAGTGTGGACTACACAGCGAGAGCTTGTCTGTACTAAAAATAAAATTAAAAAATAATTACCTGGACATGGTGCAGGTCCCAGTTCCTCACCAGGCTGGAGGAGGATCACTTAGGCCTAGGAGATGGAGGCTGCTGTGAGCCGTGATCACACCACTGCACACCAGCTTCGGCAACAGAGTGAGACCCTGTCTCAAAAAAAAAAAAGATGTAACATTCAGTGAAAGCTGAGAACTTGTTTTAAATGTACGTAACAGAGGATCTTAAACACTATTAGAGATGCACGGAATGTTTTTGAGCCTGGAAACAACACGACCAAAGGAAAACTTACTGGGAAGCAACGCTCCACAGGGAGTAGAGTGGGGAACACCTAGAGCTGAAACGACTCTAAGGTAGCAGCGCTGTTCCAGGCCTAAGGTACAGTCGTGAACTAAGGCCATGATTGTGGGAATAGAGGTATAGAAGGTATGGAAAAACTTTGAAGAAATAATTGACAGGGCTGACTGGGCAATAACACATAGCCCTTTTATATATTGTATAGTTAATACTGTACCTTGAAATTGGAAAGCCTTATTCACTTTTAGCATTAATGCCTTATGAATATAGTTTTAAATTTAAAGTTCTTGCTTTTAGGTTTAGCATGTAATCAAGCCTCTACATCATTTCATATTTCTCCTTTTTTCCAATTGTGTGTACATTGTCCTATGAAGGAAATGGCATAATTTTATATTGTACTGTTTGTTTGTATATGGTACTATGTTATATTAAGTCAATATGTTTCAAATCCCCTCAAAACAAGGCAGTGTGCCTTCCAAAAATTGATCATGAATTGTATTATTTAAATACATTTTAATATTTAATAAAATGCAGTATGTTTGGAGTATCTATTTTTAAACTAGAGAATTGAAACCAGTCATAACTGGGCCTTAATCTTTTAGCAGTCAGTCCTTCTCACTGTTCTTTTGTGTGTAACACTGTGCCTCAGGAAAACTCTGATTGCTCTAAATGCTGTATTAAGAATCCTTTCTCAAATAAAAAATTAAAAAAAAAAAATCCTTTCTGGACTATAAATCGTTCTACTATAAGGACACATGCACACAAATGTTCATTGCAGCACTGTTTACAATAGCAAAGACCTGGAATCAACCAAAATGCCCATTGATGATTGATAGACTGGATTGGGAAAATGTGGCACATATACACTATGGAATATTATGCAGCAATCAGAAATGATGAGTTTGTGTCGTTTGTAGGGACATGGATGAATCTGGAGAACATCATTCTCAGCAAACTGACACAAGAACAGAAAATGAAACACCGCATATTCTCACTCATAGGCGGGTGATGAAAAATGAGAACACATGGACACAGGGAGGGGAGTATTAAACACTGGGGTCTATTGGGGGGAAAAGGGGAGGGGAAGGTGGGGAGGGATAGCCTGGGGAGAAATGCCAAATGTGGGTGAAGGGGAGAAAGGAAGCAAAACACACTGCCATGTGTGTACCTATGCAACTGTCTTGCATGTTCTGCACATGTACCCCCAAACCTAAAATGCAATAATTAAAAAAAAAAAAAATCCTCTCTATGGCTCTTGTTACACTGCAAAGATTCTCATGCATTTAGTCACCCATTACTAAATTAAAATTGCTCTGTAATCAGTTTTTGTGACATTGGCCACCATGACGGACAGCGTTTCCTCTACAGATCTTACCTGAAAGTTTTTCAGATTTGCAACTCTAAAACTAACATGTTTGGTCATGCTGCTTTGTATGACCCTCTATAATCTGAGTAGTATATACATTCTCAAGCTTCACTAAATGTGAGAGCTGTAACTAATTTTCAAAATAAATTGGAGTAAAATCTTTCTTTCTCCACAAGAAAATTAAGAAACCAGAGAATTTAAGTGACTTAACTAATGCCATCAACTAATTTATTTCTATCTAACCTGTCTGGGGAAAAGAAAATCCCTAAAACGTAAGAGATCAGATTTACGGAACGTACCCATACCTCTTCTTCTATCTCATAGTTCCTCTCTACAAAAATGAGTATTTCTGAGAAGCATCATTTTAGTGGAATTTGCAAGGAATATTTTCTACAAAACATTGTTCATATAAGAGGTCAGTTGAACTCTTAAAGGAAAGGAAAAATGTATACCCTTTTTTTAGCCTTCAAATATTTTGTTAGGTTGACTTACCTACTTGGGGCTGAAGTTACAACAATTCTACACGATGTCCTTAGAATAAATTTAGGCTAACTCTATTTTTCATTGGTTGAATAATATAGAAAATAGAGAACATAGAATTCTTAAGTCTAGGAATCTATTTTGGCACTAATTTTTAAGTAATGAAATCAACTAATACTCATTTTTTAAAATAATTGTGCTTACTTTCTTGTTTCCACTTTTTCCCTTATCTTTTATACAGAAAGACCAGCACAATGATGGAGTCATTTTTAAGAGAGACTGTTGGTCAGAGAAGTGAAAAATGTGAGGATATTATTTAACTCACAAGAACTGGTTACAGTTATCTTTTCTGGTCTCTCACTTATTATCTCTTTTTAAAGTTCTTGCTATAGACATATTAAAATTTTGCATGAGTGTTTTAAATTTAAAATCCCTTGACATTTACTAGAAATGGAGGTTTTGGGCTGTTAAAGGTCAAAATTGACAGGGTCCAGAGAAGTCAATGGAGTAGAATGAACTGTAGCTATTCAGCATCCTAAAATTCAAGAATGTAAAAGGCATTAGTTTTGCCACTCAAATAGGAACATCCCAGAAGATACACACTCTCTAGCGGGTATCAGGTATGCAGAGTACAGAACCTATAGTAAGCACACTTTGCCACTAGTGCTTATTCCAGGGTGGGCTGCAGAAACAAAAATAAGCATGCGTGTCACCAAAGTGCCTCTGAGACTCTCTGCCTTATCATTTTCAGAGGATATACAGGAGGACTATTCCTTTTTGAGAACCTATTCATCAGCCTTAACTTTAGAACCCACAAATTGCCTCAAATTAAAAAATTTCTTCAACATTTGCAAGTAAAAATGTTTGCAACCTTCAAATGCATAAAAATTTGGTGAGATCCTTTTTCTGTTTTATTTCATCATGAGCTAGATTCTTACTTTCCTTATTTGGAAAGGTGTATTTCCAGAGAATGAATCATTGCATTTCCAGGGGTTTCAGGCCGTCTAGCTGAGTCAATGACACAGCTTCACGGCACCTGTCTTCAGACTGCATCAGACCTTGGAGCAGTGAAGCACAAAACAGACATACAGGGCGGAGTTCCTTCCTTTCTTTCACTCAAGTAGACAGAAGAAGGTAAACGGGAAAAAATCAGGAACTCTGCAACACTTAGGAAAACATAATGTGTCTCAATGTTTTTTATTTTCATTTTCCAGAACCATCATCCTTCTCCTACACTCAAAAATACAGTGCCCAATGCCATTGAAATAGAACCCAAATGCATTCCTTAGGAAAAACGATATTCAACTGAATAATTTCCAACAACAGAATGGCTAATTTAACACAGAAAGTTGAGCCCCTTTATCATTATCCTTTTCCAAAGTTAATAATCTTTTTTGAAACAACAACAAAATGACTTCCAGATATCACTCATGTATACACTTTCCACCTTCCTCTCTTCCATTTTGTTGGAACAAAATGACATATACTCATACAAACAAAGACTGGAAGAGGATTTAAACTGGAAGAGAGGAAGGTGGAAAGTGTATGCCTAAGTTATATTTGGCTTAATGACTCAAAGAAAGCTGAAGTTTCAGGTCCTACAGGAGAGGGAGTGGGTAAGAGGCAAGTATATTCACTCTAAATCTAAATATCAGCCTGTGTACATGCACACATGCATGCGAACACACACGGAACCTAATTAGAAGGATAATCTAAAAGACCCCGAATATGACCAAAAGATTCCAGAAAAAGTACAAGAGGCAGAAAACACTATAAGGTATTTTAAGGAGGAAGAGATACAGGGAACAATGTGATTACAGAATCACGGGAAAAGATAAAAGTCAGGTCCTAAACTACAGGATACCCACAAAACGTAGAACTGGCAAGATCCACAAGCTCCTGCCCCTGTGCTCACACTGCAACTGTGATAGTCTAGGCCTGGAGCCACGGTCACGACCATCACAGCCATACCAGCCTCTGGACTTCAGGAAACGAAAAGGTGGATGCCTACGTATGCATTCCCATGATTAGGAGGTTACATGTTAGACTAAAATGTCACCTGTACCGGGCCGTTTTCTTGACACTTAGGACACTAAAAACTGGAGCCTGCTTCTGCAAAACTCCAATATCAGTAGTCACTGTTAATGGTCAGTTGCCAAGGGAAATGGACCCTACTTCACTTCTGCCATTCAAAATTTTGTCAAGTCAATCTTATTTTCGGAACCTAAAAATTACTCAGAACCATAGTAGCTAGGGAAATTTGGAAATACAGTTTCAAGCTGGATAGCCATGTACTTCTGTAGAACTTTATTACCAGTAAATAAAGTGAGAACAAATGTTGGGGGACAGCTAACTCTAGAAGAAGGGAAGACGTTTGTTCTCCTGACACATTGAACAGAGGAACTCTAAATTCAGGAAGGTGAATATGGGAGGATTAAATAGAAATTGGCATTCATACCAGTGAGATTCCCAGGTTATTTCCTAAATTTAACTTCCAGAATGCTGGAAGCCAGGTGTAATCCCATAGGAATGACGGGAATATTGTTACCTGGACAAACTGGACCAACGGAAACACAGTAAATATATTCACATTTGGGAACCCTAATGTAATGGTCCGGGGAGACCTACAATTGAACAAGATTTTGCTATACACAAACCTAAGCAAATCGTAATGCCTCACATTTTAAATAGAAAGATATTTAGACATTAGTAATTTGTTGAATGTCTTGACATGAAAAAAAGAGACCAAAACAAAAAAGCGAACAATAAAATCTAGTCAGTGAATATCCAGAGGAAACAGAGACACTATACAGAACAAAAGAAAACTACAAAAAGTTGACTAATATTCTCATAGATTTAAAATAGTAAGAATACAACATAAGAAAAAGCAAGCAATCATACCACAAGAGTGAAAATTAAAAATGAGGTATTTTAAATTTTAAAATTCTTTATGTGTTGAAAAATAATGTTGGATACAATCTCTCAGAAAATAGAATTTTTTTAAATGATGGAATA